CCCTCCTCCTGTCGAGGCGCCCAAAACAACGGCGTACCCCACCACGAACCCCGTTAGGATATACAGGCGATGCTGCCAACTTCGGGAGACGCCGATCCTAAAGAGGATTACCGAACAGCTCAATGAACCCGCCAATCTATCCTCCGACGTTGGTGTGGTGGAGAAACTGGACTTGACTGGGTACTGGATGCAGCTGCCTGACCTAATCACCCTTGGCGACTACCTCGCCGTGGTCCCCGTCAAGGAAGTCATTCTCGAAAACTGCGGGCTCTCAGATGAGGGCTTACGGGTTATTCTCGCTGGACTACTCGCTGCCAGGCGGCCAGAGAGCAGGAGACGAAAACAGGTTACTCACCCTGAAGGTCTCACTCGACAAGGTGGCGTTTGTTGAACGGCTGGTACTGAAGAACAACAAGCTGGGCGTCGATGGTTGGAAGCATACCTGTCTGTTCATCTATCTTTGCCGGACGCTGAGGCACCTCGATTTGTCGATGGTCCCTCTGCCACGACCCGTATCGCCCAAGACCCATCCTGGCCATCGGCCTCTTCACTTGCCTCATCTTCACCACCAATCTGAAGAGATCACGCTGGCTTCCTTGTTCTCTAAGGCTGTGGGACAACGCCTCGCAGGCTCAAACTTGGAGCTGCTACACATCGGAGGCATCGAACCGACATCAGAGGAACTCGGCACCATTATTGATGGCGTTATTGAGTGTGGCGTGAAGCGATTGGGCCTTGCTCATAATAATATCGACGACAAGGGCTTGGAACATGTTGCGAGGTGGGTCACCAGCGGCAACTGTGTAGGCCTTGACCTCGGCGGCAACGACCTGCGGGAGAACCTCGAAGTGTTTGCCAATGCCATCTCATCAGACTCTCCACTTTGGGGCCTTAGTCTGGCAGAATGCAATCTGCGCGCGGGGACTTTGTGCAAGATCCTGCCCAAGCTTGTTCCTCTGGGCAATTTCCGCTTCATCGACCTTTCACACAATCGGGACTTGTGCAGAACGGAGCCGAGTGCCATCAGCCTACTTCGAAAGTAAGTCATGTTGTGCCTTGAACCCTTCGTTTAGCTAATATGATAAGGTACCTCCCGAAGCTCGAAAACCTCAGGCGGATTCATTTAGCAGACGTGGCGATGTCATCTGAGCAGGCCATTGCACTAGCTGAGATCCTACCCGAAGTGCAGAATCTCGCTCACATCAGCTTCCTCGAGAACCCTGATCTCGTTAACTTGGCCGACGCCCAAACCGAGGAGTCTCAAGAAGAAGCATGCGCCCTCTATGCATCTCTCCTGGCTGCCACCCGAGTCTCGAACACGATGGTCTGTGTCGACATTGACGTCCCCAGCGAGCGGTCGGGCGAGATCGTTAAGGCGATGGCTAAGCAGGTTGTGGCGTATTGCTTGCGTAACTTGCAGCGCTTCCCCATTGCGGAAATCAGCTCTGCCGTTCAAGCCCTCTCGGACGGTCAGGATGCACCGGCTGGACAGGAACCGCCATATCCCGATGTCCTGGCCCACCTTGTCGGTCACGACGTGCTTAACCAAGACGAAGTTGCGTCCGATGACGAGTCTGCTCCTGATGACGACTACGTTATTGGTGGTACAGGCGTGGTGAAGGCTCTGACCTGTTGCCTCAAGAACAGGGGCGACGAATCGAGGAGGCAGTCTGGGGAGTTCATCAGAGAGGTTGAGGGCGGTATCACGCTACCCGCCATTCCCCAGCCGAGGCTGCCTCACGGCAAGGCCAAGGTCATGTCAAAGCACCTACTCGCGAGTGCCCGGAAGATCAGGGTGCGCCTGCAGCCAGCCATTGCGCGGGCCAAGAACAACGCGAGCGACGAGGAGAATTATCGCAAGCTGATGTTCCTGGATACAACGCTGGCCAATATCATCAAGCGGTTCGAGGACGAATTTCCGGACACACGCGTCGACGAGTCCACCGAACAGACAGTGGCCGACGCGGCGTCGGCCAAGTCCGATCAGCTCGGCACGTCGTTATCGTCCGAGCTCGACCCAGAGCAAATCGCCATCCCGTCGGATCCTGAGGACGACCTCGACCTCCAAGTGCGGCCCAGCGTGTCGCGCAGCAATTCAATCATGTCGCACACGTCCCGCGCGCTTGCTGATGAGGAGGGTCGCATACTCCGCGCGGGCCACAAATTCCGCTCCGGCATCATCAAGCCCGAGCATTACGGCCTCCTCAACAGCCCAGACGAGCTCAGCTTTGAGCCAAAGCATGAGGCGTCCATGCTGGACATGGTCGAGGAGCTCGATGACCCCGAGCTCAGCCGCAAGGCCAAGGAAAAGGGCATCATTCGCCTCTTCCGGGAGGACAGGGTGGAGATCTCCGAAGCCCTTCGTCGCGTGGACCCAGAGTACTGGGAGCGTTTCGTCGAGAGCCAGGAGAAGGCGAGGGGGAATGTGCAGGTGTCCTCGGTGACGAACGGGGGCGCCAAGCCCGCGCAGGGGGACGAGAGCGCCGTCGTTGACGACGCTTGATGTCTCGCGCCTCCTCGGTTTTCTCTCGCGTTCTCCGTTTTTATTTCTATCTTCATTCATTTTTTGGTATCATGGCACGAGCTGTACGAGCGGGGTTGCGATGGCGTACGGGGTTTCTTGCGTTCCTTATTCATCTGAGTTTTGAAGAGAAAGACATGAGAAGAGTCCTTGTTTGGAGTTGGCCGCATCCCAACGGCGTTTGGTGTCCTCTTCAAGGGAGGGGGACGAGAGTGCCAATCAGTCGTTACTGCATGTATAACATGATGAAATGCAACTTGAAGCATGGGCTCTGCGTTCGGAACCAGCCATGTTCTACTGTCGTGATGAAGTATGAGAATATGCTCACCTAGCAGCCTGGAGTGGCATTGTCCTGTGACCGCGCAAGGGTCACCTGCTTGCTCATGCATGCTGCTTCAGTCAGCGAGTATCATCCCCACATGCCCCATACATGCTGCGTGCATTCTGAAGCAATTCGACGGGCGTGCTTGCCAAGAGCACGCCAAAACAGGCAATGAATGAGTGGGCTTTCCAGCAGAGAACATGGTCGTTCGTCTCTTGACTAAATCATACATTATGAGTATCATCAACGCGCGTCGGGTATAGCAAGAATCCCAGAACCAGAACAAAACTCCAGAGGCATTATCCGTCCTCTTTCCCCGCCGAGGTATCATCCAGCCCTCCCTTCCATGGTTCCGGCCGTCTCTGTTTTATACTGTCCACCCCAACCTGTCCCCCATCTAACCCTATGTCCAACTGGGTGAAAAAGAAAATGGAGAAGGAATGA